TCACCAGGAGGGACACTGGAAACAGGAGAGGCATTGCAGCAGCACCTGTGAACAACAGCTGCAAAGAAAGTCCTATGTACTGGGCTGTTACCTGCTCAATGCAAATGGAATCTCTGGAGTTCTTAATAGTGAAGCTGTTACAAGTCTCCACTGAGCTTGTGCAAACTGAGATTTTTTTTCCCTCTAGAGATTTACAAATTGGGCAAATTACAATGCGGACAGGAAAAGGAATGTTCCTGACAGCAGGGTGGCCCCGCCTCCGCTAATAAATTTTAAGCCTCTGATCTGAAACATGTAGATGCTAGAGCTTCTCAACCAAACAGGTAGGTGTGAGACTTTTTTAAAAATAAGCAAAATAATCTATTTGTCTTTCCTTTCATTCTTGGAAATGGCTGACCAGTTCACTTTCCCAAAACATTCACCCAGAATTAGAAAATTTTAGCCTAAATGGTTACATTTTAGCAAAGTTATAAGCAACTAAAAACTGGGTCTTGTAAAGGAAACCACTGGGCAATCATAACTATAGGCAGTGCTACCAACTGTACCTATAATGTAGTATGGTAGAGGCTAAAGTGATGTAAACCAGAGTTTCTTCATTATGGAGTGATATCGGTTAACACCAGTTGAGGATTTGGCTGCTGATCTTGGCACTTCCCTCTTAATTCAGGGGTGTCCACCATTTTTAGACCGAAGGATCAATACAGCATTTACCTAAGGTTAAGGAGCCACAATTTAATACTATGGGTAGATTTTTTGCCTTGGTTCATTTCCCCTTTGTGCTGATTAGGTAGTGCAAAGAGACAGTCATCACCCACAAACACTCTTCTGGAGGTTACCCGAGTTTAGAGGAGTCCCCAGAAGCCATAGAGTCAGCATAGCTGGTTTTTATGTTTTCTACGCTATACTCTATGGTACAGAGACAAAGATATGGGTGAGGGATTAGCTAGAGTGTGCTGTGATTCAGCTATCTCCAGCTGCTGTATGCTGCCATGTGGACCATAGCCAGCTGGCACAAGTTAGAGCAGCCCCCAAGCATGGCAGGGAATTAGGGAGTTGTATATGGCAGTTGATTCTCAGATTTTACTCTTTTTTTTTTGTGACAAGAAGAGGAAACATTACTTGCTAGGTGCTCCCATGGGCTTCTGTGGAGCAAATCAGATGCTTATCTTGCTTTCCCTCTCTCCGTGGATGGAACTGGTTCCCTCACCAAGCACAGGATGCAGCTCAGAGAACATGCTATCCATTCAGATTCATATACAAATTTCCTTCTTAACACACTCACCCTGGCAGGTCCTGAGTTAGAGCCTTGAATGCACACATATGAACAACAGGCCAAACATCACTTGTCTCATGATATTCAAATATAAGCATTTACAGTTAGATGACTAAATCGACCTAAAGGTGTATAAAATAGGTGCCTAAGAGGGATATAGACATTAAAAGCAGATTTAAGGTCCCAAGGATCTAATTAATACATCGATAGTTCTATTGAAATCAACAAAGTTATATCAGGAATGAACTTTACTCCCTTTTCTTGAATCCTATAGCTAACTTCAGATGTTCACTCTGTGCAATACCATCTACCACAAACACCCACTCCTTTTAGAGATATTCAAAAAAGACAGGATTATGTCAACCTCTAGATCAGCTTTTCACAAAAGACTTATACATAGAAGACAGGGAGATGAACCAGTCACTCCAGTGGACTGAGAGAAAGAGACTGGAGATTGGCTTCTAATAAGGATCTTTTTCTGTATCTTTTAAAATGCATAGACTTTCACCCTGGTGAAAATGCATTACTGTTCATCTTGTGCTATTTCACAGCCTTCCTTTAGCAGATGGCATAGATTCTCACCTGCTTGAAGAGGGATGTTTGAGACAGTTTAATATTTTAAAAATAGGGCCTGGTGAAAAAAGTGTGATATTGGCTTGTTTATCAGAATTTTTATCCCATTTTTGCTAATTATCTTTCCATTCTGCTCCGGTATCTGCTCAGGTATCTGAAGCCACAATGCCAGATCTATGCCAGCTTGAACATTTAAACTAGTAACAACCTGTGACTTCACAACCACCAGGTCAAGCAGACCTAAGGGGGAAGCTGTAGATGTGGTAAACCTAGACTTTAGTAAAACATTTGATACATTCTTACATCACCTTCTCATTAATAAACTAGGGAAATACAACCTAGATGGAAATACTATAAGATGGGTGCATAACTTGTTGGATGACTATTCCCAGAAAGTAATCAACAGTTCACATCATGCTGGAAGGGCATAACAAGTAGGGTTCTACAGGGATCAATTTTGGGTCCAGTTCTGTTTAATATTTTCATCAATGGTTTACATCATGGCTTATCAAGTTTGCAGATGATACCACGCTGGGAGTGTTTGCAAGTGCTTAGAAGGATGGGTCATAATTCAAAATAACCTGGACAAACTGGAGAAATGGTCTGAAGTAAGTAGGATGACATTCAGTAAGGACAAATGCAAAGCACTCCATTTAGGAAGGAACAATCAGTTGCCCGCATTCAAAATGGGAAATGACTGCCTACAAAGGAATCCTGCAGAAAGGGATCTAGGGGGTCATAATTGACCACAAGCTAAATATGAACCAATAGTGTGACAATGTTGCAAAAAAAGCAAACACCATTCTGGAATCTATTAATAGAATGTTGTAAGCAAGACACAAGAAGTAATTGTGTCTACTCTGCACTGAGTAGGCCTCAAATGGTGCATTGTGTCCAATTCTGGAAGCCACATTTCAATAAAGGTGAGGACAAATTGGAGAAGAACATAAAAATGATTACAGATCTAGAAATCATGAGCTATGAGGGAAGATTGAGATAACTGAGTTTGTTTAGTCTGAAGAAGAGAAAACTAAGGGGACATGATAGTAGCTTTCAAGCACCTAAAAGGTTTTCACAAGTAGGAGGGAGAAAAAATATTGTATTTAACTTCAGATGATAGACTAAGAAGCAATGGACTTAGATTGCAGCAAGGGAGGTTTAGGTTGGACATTAGGAAAAACTTCCTAACTGGCAGGGTGTTTAACCCTAGAATAAATTGCCTAGCGATGTTGTGGAATCTCCATCACTGGAGATATTTCAGAGCAGGTTAGACAGACACCTGTCAGGAATGATCTAAACAGTGCTTGGTCCTGCCACGAGGGCAGGGCACTAGACTTGATGAGCTCTTGAGATTCTTCCAGTTGTATGATTCTGTGATTGATTATATATCCAGAAAAAGGAGGAAATAGAATTTGTAGTCTCCTCTCACTCATAGTGGTTTAATTCTGCAATGACTACTGAAGTCAATGCAGTTTACACTGGTGTTATGCTGGTGTCAGTGAGAAGAAAATCAGGCCTGAGACCTTCTTTGTCAGTGCACCTCTTACTCTTAAAGATAGATTCACCTTCTCCTTTCTTTCATCCATGAAAGAGCTCTCACTGACTAGGGCATGTTTCCATGTACAGGTATTTTCCTTTGTCATGCTCTTTGTTAATAGCCTTGTAAGAAACACACAATGCTATATGTTGCCCCCTCCAAGACTGTCACCTAATTACAGCTAACCTCTACAGTAAGAATAGGAAATCCCATACTTTCCCTGGCAAATCGTTCCTCTCTCAGGAAGAATGAAATAAACCTGATTTTTTTTAATTTAATTTAGACTTGTTTTCTTGCCATGCAGCCTTACAGCCAGGCATTGGCAGATGGCTGAATGGGAATTGAACTGGAACAGAAAAATGCAACATGAGAAGTCAATCGCTGTGGCCATATCCTTTGAATTTTTGGACTTTGGCAATGCATTTGTCTACTCAGATTGCCAACAAAAATATCACTACCCAGAAGCATAACACATTGAGTCCCTCTGCCAATGAAAGCAAAATAAATGACATATTTCTATCTGCAGCGGTAATTACTCTGGTTGCAATAAGTTTTAAGTTTGTAAATGCAGAGCAACCATTGAGTGCTAATTCTTTTTAACCAAGGTTTTTATGGAATCCTACAAACCATGGAAATAGAATAGTTAATTTGTCATGACTATCAGCCTAACTCTGCAGGATTCAAGTGAAAGGCTTCACTGATTGTAAATCAAATAAAATTGTGCCAAAGAGATCCATTCCCATTGGCCTTCCTAGATCTTGGATATGCCTTAAATAGAAAAAGCTTCTGGAACAAAAATCTGTCAGGTTCTTATACGTGGCAAGGACTTTGCAGCTGTGTTTAGTCCTAGTGCTTCTGTCTAGATCAAAACCGGAACAGATGTATATCAAAAAGCCATCCGTTGTTTACACCTTAAAGCAGAGATTTTGTGCCAATTTTTTCTTTCAGTGTGCATGAACAATGCCCTGTGAGAGCAACGCACATGCATCCATGAGCATAAAAAGACCTCTTGGTAGGTGAGATGTGGTGGACAACCCCCACACTAGAAAAGTAAAGGTGCAGTTGGAGGAGAGACAGTGAAGGGTGTCTCTTCCGCACAACCGGATGGTAGGCATAGTGAGACAGACCTGCTGTAGCGGGACAAAGCCAGGAGGGCTTTCCCTGGGCAGGTCTGCTGCACAGAAGCGAGAACCCCTATCTTGCTGAGGAAGCCCAGGAAAAGTATTAGCCACACTGCCAGTAATGGGCTCCTACCCTATGATACTCAAGAGGGCTTTTGAGTTGGATCAGAATGGAGTGTGAGGGACTGGGCTCCCCTCCCATATAACCACTAAGGCTATGTCTACACTGCAAAAACAAGCAGTGGGATAAGGATCTTGCGCAAAAAGGAAATGACCACATTGCTTGTTTATGCGCAAAAACCCCTTGTGCAAAAACATCTCGAATTGATTATGAAGCTCGAAAAATGCTAATTAGTACTTCATTTGCATACTCTGTGCTGGCAAAGCTGGCAGTGTAGACAAAGCCTAAGTGGGGAGGCCCACCCAACTGACAGTAGGACACAAAGAAGGAGACAGGGACTGAACAAAAGTGATTTGAGACATGGGTCAAAAGGTTAAAAAACAAACCTTTGTTTAATGTGTACAGTACTCAGGAGGGGGAAAGAATACATCATACTATGGCAATGCAGAGAATACACCAGAACAAACTCATCCATAGTAATTACTTCGGGATACTCTTTCCAGCCTCTGAATTCTCTGACTTCTGCTCCTGCATGGAATGCAAACAGATCCATTTATTCAACTGACTATAAACCCACAGACTGAATTCAGCCATTACCCCTTGTCCTGCGTCTGAGTGTCAAACTCAAGAGCCGACCACCCTCTTCCCATCTAGGCAGGCAGGCAAGGCTGAGACATGTCAAAACCCCTCACGCAGAGAGAGCCTGTATTGAAATTAAGGTGGCCTCCCTGAACAGCAGAGCCTGTGACAAGTTGCCAGGTTATCTGCTTTAATCGTATCCTAAATGCGGCTCATCTTTGGGAAGAGAACCCTAAAGCAGTAGAGATTGTGAGAGAAACTATGAAACTTATAAAAGGCCATTTCCAGAAGCAGCTTTTTATTTCATGTTCTTCTCAATCCAGTCCTTGAATGGAATTGCCTTGGTATAGCCAGTGTAGAGTTCTAGGCTGCAAGTTTTATCGTCGCCCCAGCTTACTAATCCCATCAGGTGCCATTTTAGTTCAGGAGATGCTTTTCCTGGCAAAGTTATGGCTGCAATCCCTCCAGTCTCAGCTGGGCAGATATTAGAAAAGGCAGTGGGGTGCTGCCTGGCACAGAACATGCTGTCAGTAATGATGACCTGGATTCCATTATCCTCATACTTCTGCTCGCACAACAGCGAGTCCACCATCTGAACAGCTCCCATGCGAATTGTATCATTCTTGTAGCTGGGATCCTTAACGTCAGCCAGTATCTTCCAGCCTGTAATCACTATTTTTAAATCCTCTGTGGATGGGTCCAAATCATGAGCAGATGCAAGGCAAATGGGTTGAACATGGCTGCTGATTTTGGCTTTGTCCAGAAGTTTTATGATGGCCATGTCAGAATCAAGCAATATGGGATCGTAGTTTGGGTGCACTATGATGGCAGATATCTAGGAAGGAACCAGAGAGGGAAAATTTACAGAATTAATGCTGATGGACAATAGAACAGTGGGAAATCTGTGACAATTTTTCTGTGCGATTTTCAAATTTCATTTGAAATGATTTTGCACGCCTCAATGATTCCTTGTCCATGCAACTCAGTCTAATGCCCTTTCAAATGAAAAACACACAAAACACTCAAATGGGTGTTTCAAAGACAAATTTTAGTTGGGATCAAATCAATTTTTACTGACAGCAAAAAGAAAGAACTCATGAAAGGCGATTAATTTCTCAAAAAAGCGGGCCCACTTTAGAGCTGCAATGAAACTGGAGGAGGAAAGAGGGAATTATATTTCAAGTAGCATCATCTTTTATTGAGAAAACTTTGTCCGGTCCGTTAGTGGACTGCATGTCAGTTTCAGTCTCCATAAATATAACAGTGTCCCACCGCTGAACTAAAATATCTTAATGATTTTCTTCCAATAAATCAACCAACAAGAAAGAGTTCATACACTCTATGATATATAACTGTAGAGCCCTAAACCTTTATCCCAAAAAAGGATGATAAGATGCTAATACAAGAAAAGTCCAGGCAGCAGGAGCAGTCTAAGGAAAGACATTCCTATCAAGAGTAGTAAAATACTCAGTAGAATGGAGGAGGGTGGGGTTAGGTACCAAAATGAAGCAGAAAGTTGAATATAAAGTAGGAAACAAAGTACCTGTATTTTATTGGAGAGAACATATTAATGAACTCAAAAATCAAAAAGAAAAACACAATCAAAACTGCTGTTTCTCTTCATTATGATATGAAACCGTTAATCTGCCCCAGTTAACTTGGAAAATCAATTAACTGGACCTGAATTGGAGTTGTTCAGGTCTGTGGCTGTCATGTAAAATGAGTTAATGGTCACAGACCAGGACCAGTGGACATATTCTCCCTCTCCAAAAACAGAATCACCCAGTGGCACTGGTTAACATCTCTTTTTTTAACAATCTCGGCCAACAGGCCAATGATTTAATGGGCTTGAAGGCTGAGCTGTTCTATTCATCCCTGGGGGTATGTCTAGACTACAGGGTTTTGTCAACAAAAGTGGACTTTTGTCGATAAAACTATACCTGCATCTACACTACTGCCGAGTTCTGTCGACATAACGTTGACAGAACTCAGCAGTTTTGTCGATGGCTGTAAACCTCATTCTGTGAGGAATAACGCCTTTTGTCGACAGAGTTCTGTCAACAGAAGGCATTATTGCATCTACACCATCCTTTGCGTCTACACTCTCATGTCAACAAAGCGGTTTGCTTTGTCGACAGAACTGGATGTAGTCAGACGCTCTTTGTTGACAGAAGCTTTGTCAACCATATCTGTTGACAAAGCCTCTGTCGACAAAAGCCTGTAGTCTAGACATACTCTGTGTGTAGGATGATGTGTGGGGAAGCTTGCAGTGCTGCTGCTGCCAACCCTCCCATACCATAACACACACTTCTGTCAATGAACATGGGACTGCAGGCTCCAGCAATGTCAACAAAAAAGTATGTCAACTAGATAATACAGAACAATGCGCTTTGTTCTCTTCGTGTAATATGGACCACAAGGATGGTCCAGGTCTGTATCTCTGTCAGCATATCTCCACTCCCAGCTGAGTGCCTCTCTCACCCGTAAGTTCTGGATGGTCTTCTCATTTCGGTCATCGTCCCTGTAGAATTTTCCCAAGACCACTTTGAGATCTGCTGTCTTAAGGACAGTGATCTTCCCCAAGTCAGTGACACAATGAGCTGCCACGACCACGGTGCGCTCGTTCACCAGGGCTCCACTGCAGATCAGGATCCATGCCCCCTTTCGTAGGCTGACCTCCTTCACCCCATTGGCTTTCCGATAGATGGCTGCTTGCCAGGGCCATCGAATAGATGAAGTCTTTTGAAGAGTGATGTTTTCTGCTTTTCCACAGACTGTAAAAATATGAACCCAGGATGAGTTAATTCTTTTCCCCCCAAGAATATGAATTTTCCACTTCCTGATTCCCAACTATGCTGTGCCTTAGGGCACTAAACTTCATTGTTTAGAAATAGGGGGAAATTACCAATTAACCCCTAAATCAGCCTTGCAACATTCTACTCACCCACAAACTGCTTGAGAATTTATTTTAGTTTTTTTCCCCATTGGAATTCCTGGTTAAAGATGGGAAGGTAAGTTCTGCATCTGAACTAGAAATTTTCAAAGAATCAAGACTACACCACAGTGATGTGAAAATTCTGCCCTAAAACCTCTGTCAAACAACCACACATGACTTGAGCAAAAATGGGTCATCTTGTAGAAATGGGCTTTCTGGACATACAGACTGAAAAAATATTTCTAGATACTTGAGATGAGCCCAAACCAAAACCACGATCCAATGCCCTCTGAACTTTTATTTGGTTCTGAACTTTACCATTGGCCCTGTGTCAATAATGGGCTGTCCCAAATCCCTCACTCTGCAGAGCTCCTAACGCTGAGATAATTCTTACCCACTTCTGAATTTTGCAAAATAGGCCCACCCTCAGCAGGTAGAAGTAAGGAATGTAGCCTCTTAATAATGCACTGGTTCCAGCTGATTGCTTTTGATCTGATGCATTTGTAAATTATCTGCAAAAGTGCAGACAAGTGAAAAACTGCATTTCCTCTAAGTGGGACAGGGAAATGAGACTGAGGAAGATGTGCACAGATAGATGATTAGAGAGCCTGCTGTCAATTACAAAACCAAGAGCTTGACTCCTCACTTGGGCTGTGTCCAGACTCAGGGGTTTTTTCGAAAAAAGTAGCCTTTTTTCGAAAAAACCTCACCTGTGTCTAGACTGCAGCCGCGTTCTTTCGAAATTAAATCGAAAGAACGTGGCTTTTCTTTCGATGGCGGTAAACCTCATTTCACGAGGAAGAACGCCTTCTTTCGAAAGTTCCTCTTTCGAAAGAAGGCGTTCTTCAATGTAAATAGGGCTTCTTCGAAAGAGAGCATCCAGACTCACTGGATGCTTTCTTTCGAAAAAGCAAGCCGCTTTTTCGAAAGTTCAACGTGCAGTCTAGACACTCTCTTTCGAAAGAGGCTCTTTCGAAAGTATCTTTCGAAAGAGCCTCTTTCGAAAGAGGCTTGCAGTCTAGACATAGCCTTGCAGTCATCAACAGAAGTTCCACTGAGGAATAGAAAGAGTCCTCTATCTTCTCAGTGTCATTGCTCTTTCTCGCCCAGCTGGGAGCACAGGCAGCCTACATTGTTAGGAATCTCCAATTATCTAAGATGAATATGTGCCCCCCCAAGGAGATGTGTATTTCTTTTCTTCTTAACAACTCACTTGGCACACATGAGGGAGCCCGCCCACTCCATTTTCCTGACTTTAGACAGGTCCTCCTGCTGCTTCCCAGCCGTCGGTAAAAGGGAGAAATGCAGTCATACTTAAGCTGAGTGTGCAAATGCTGATACCCTGGAGGCAGGTCTCCAAAGGGTAGCATTGGCTTCTTGGTTGGATATACTTCAAGCTTCTGTTTGCTGAATGCAGAAGAGTAGAGCTGATGCAAAGGCGTCTCCCTGTACCACCACACAAGAAACATGGGGAAATAATAATATGAGAAAAAAGACCATTATTGCTTTATCACCAGCTGTGCTAAGCATCATTTAAAAATGCCAGGGCTCTGCTTATTTGCTAGAAGCATAAGGCAAAAAACTCTCTGGCATAGTTTAGCAGTATTCCCATTTGCAGCTCAGCCTTTAGACGGATGAGAGAGGCTTGTTTTATTTTGTTTTTAGTTTACTTTTTCTGGCATATTCCCAGTTACATAGAAACATTTTGTGAAAGGGTAATAGTTCATGTTACTGTATCACCATTTGCAAAAGACATGTGATGCTGCATTTTTTAATTATAAATTATACTATAACTGGGTGTCGCTATAATTAATTTTCACATGAGAAGAGTTTAGACTCATTCTTTTTTCTCTAATGAGCATTATAATAGACAGCACTGGGAAAAGATTCAGACTAAACCATGCTGATAAAGTAGCTTGATTTAGCAATTAACAGAGATAATTACCATACTGCAGAGAATATATAATTGCACCAATCAATAAATTTTAGTTTAAGAATTGCACTGATTTGACAAAATATGGGACCTATTTTAAAATTTAAATGTGCTCTGGAAATGAAATTAACCATTCTGAATGTGTACTGTGAACTTTGCAAAGCAAATATTTTAAATCTTTCATTCATGAGAACTACATAATCTTTGTGAGAAGGCACTTGTAAATACATGAGGGT